AGGGAATAAATTACACGGTATGCTCACAAACATTCATTTATTCTTCAAATTTAAGTATACCTTTTTCCTATTGTGATTGAACAATAAGGGCTCATTTTGAGATGGTTCAAAACCCATACTCGGCTCGGTGGCCTAAAGTTCTGTTGGGCTATTACAATTATATTGGAGAATAGTCCAGAATAACGTGAGATAAATCTCATGTGGAAACATGTGCTGGGCTATTAAAGTGAAGTTCAATAATAGTCCAATCCCAAATTGCACCAAACACAGGATGTAATTCAGTCCAATCCAAATCCCGTCCAATAAAATTAAAATATAAAGTGATCGAGAAACATTTAAGCAGTGAAGCATTTCAAGTTACAATGATTTAGAGAGAGGCATTGAAGCTTATTTTGGACCCTACTATAGTTCTAAAATATATAAATAGTTAGACAGATGATGCTAATCTACATAGGGCATTGATTCTCAAGTTCTGATGTACCAAAACTCTAATGATCTAACATATAAAAAGTGTAAATTGGAGCGTTAGTCCCTAAACTTGGACTCGAGCTTCAATTTGGTCCTCAACTATAATTCTTTGATCCATTAGTCCTTGAAAATTTTAAATAGGTACCAATAATCGTAGACGTTTACTCCATTAGGATTTCTGTTAGTTTATTGATGTGGCAAGCATGTGTGACCCATAAGACTACATTCACTGGTGAAGACGGTGACGAAATTCAACTAATAGCCAAAGGGAGAATTGAGTGTTTTTACTCTCACAAATCAAAATCCCAATACACCCAAAGCACTCTCACAAAAGAGTAACGAAAAAATCCTAAACCAAATAAGAGAAAATCGTCCAAACTCTTCATGGTTTGCTCTCCCACTCTCAACATACAATCACAGAGAAGCCTATGTGCCTATTATATACTACTCATGACTTAGCCAAATGGGATCAGAAACCAAAAGGAATCCTTATAGTACCAGAAATGAAAAACAAAGCCACAAAGCCACAAAGAGTAAATAATAATCTTAATGTGCTATTGGGACCAAAAAGGCGAAGTTGTTGGCTTCAAGTTTAAGCCACATAACGACAAATTTCCACCTTGGCTTACATTTTACTAAAGCCTTCAAAGTGGAAACGTCCTCCTTTCGTCTTCTCCAAATCCCTTACGGGCAACACACAAGTTGCAAATATCAATCAAGTCCAAGCAATGCTTGAACTTGCAAACAGGAACTGGCTTGATCAAAACAAAAATGATTTTGATGAAGAAACTGAAAATCTTCTATATCACCAACAAAACCAAGCATATCCTGACAAAGCTGAATAAAGGCACCAAGCGCTTGAATCTCAAGCTCCACCTTCACACAAACACCATGGTCTAAACTTGCACCAACAGTCCAAAAGACAACCAAATAACACGAACTAACAAATTCAGCCCAAAAGTCCATAGACAAACCGAAGTTAGAAAGCATACAACGTGCCTTCTCCAAGAGGGTTCCGCATACATGTTCTGCAATTTCATGTGGTGTCTCCATAATAGTGTGGTGTCTCACTATTCCAACTTCGCAAAACCTCTTATATTGGCGTTCACTAAATACACCCCTAACAAAAAACCATACTGACGGAGAACAAATTGATGCAACAATACGAATTGTGTTGCCCACATCCAAATTTGTCAAATCGACAACAAATTGATAGTTGCATGCTTAGAGAAAATCGCATTTGACCTGTATGCAGTGCCAATGCCTCCTTTGACTTGGTATACCTTTTGATTAAATCTGAGTTTATTACACCTTTTTGGTCAGTCTGTTGAACTTTTTGACATTACATAAAAACTTAAGTGGACTACATGTAAACCAATGACCCATGTATTTTGACTCACAGGTTCAAGCTAGCAGAGGAATTGCGGATTACCATCGCTTGCTTGCCTCTGGAGGAAGATATGAAGGTATTTACATATTACATGGTTCGTTCATACTGAGCTTGATGCTTTAAAAAAGAACAAGAGGAAATATGATTACAACGTAAGACATAAAGCTACTAGTGTCATTTTATGGACCACACTTATTTAGTTGTACAGCTGATACAATTTTCACATGTGCCATCTGGTAATCGTTATTTGCCGGGCAAAAAATTAATATTTGTCATTGCATTCAACATCAAATATTTTCTCCTTCCAAAGAATGCTTAGCGATTTTAGTGAATTGCTCGTGCCTCATTATTGGGGTATGAAATGAGAGGATGTGGTGTGGATGTTTTTACCTTGTATCTGTAATTTTTTTTCTGGGCGTATTAACTGCGGCTACGGCCCTCTTTGGTAAGGGAATTTATTTTCTTAAAAAGAAGGGGGATCATAGAAGGAATTTTCTACCCAAATAAGTAAAGGCCAAGAGCTATTTGACCAATTGACACATGAGGCCTATGAGGACTTTTTGAAACAAGTTTTTATGGATGTATGCGTGTAATTGTAATTCTATTGGGGTTGCCCATCTTAAGATGGCTATTTAATGCCCGATTTTTCTTTTGGTTTTACTGGCTGCGTGCAGTCACAGCTACTGCCCCTGGGTACAAATCAAAGACAACCGGTATCTGGTTGGACAGAGCAGGCACAAATGTAGATTTTGTTCTCGACCCTAAAGTCAATCGCAGAGGAATTCCACTTCAAAGCGCATGTGAATGCAGATGGGGCACTAGGAGTGTCATTTGGGATACCCATTTGGAAGTATACTTGCTTTTGATCGTTATTGTAGGATTCCTTTTGTTTTTATGCAAGAGGAGGACATACAGCCGATTAAAACAGAGGCAGTTGGCAGGACCAAAAAGGCCAGTTGTGGTTTGAGGATTGATTTTCTACTTGTATGGATGTCCTTTATTTTTGGGAGTCAGAAGGAAGCTTCATTTGTTAAGAAGAAAGAAACCTTAGGATCATAAACAGACAATAACAAAGAAAAGCATACCCTTGCAAACTCAACGCTGCAAATTTGCACCTTTGCAACGGGCAGTTCTTAAAGCACCTCATTTTTGTACATAAACATGAGGCAAGGTCCAGCTTCTATTACTTGTGTAGATGATAGTTGTGTATTATTTGGATGCATTTTCCATTAGGAAGACTAGAAACCCTCATTGTACTTATTGTATCACGAGGTTCTTGGTTATTATCCATACTTCTCCGGGTAGCAATATTTGACCCTTACATGGAGATCTTGCTCATGATCTTGGAATATATATATATATATATATATATATATATATATATATATTTCTTTTGTGGACTGACATGATCCTGGATCTTATTTTTTGTTTAATATAGCTAATTCCTTTTCATAAGATGCCATGTTTTGTAAATGTTATTTCTCAAATTTGTTGCACATTTTTGGAGAGGTAGCACCAACACATGTTCTTGGATCCCTCGTAAGAAGAATCGAGTAGCTCATGTAGCGGCGTCGATAGGAGTTGGGACTCTCTATAGGGAGACCTGGGCTGCACAGCCACCATCATCCCTTGTTTGTGTGCTGGTTTCGGATGGACTTCCCAGTCCACCAAATTTGTATTCTCTCAAGTAGTCGAGAAAGCTTTTGCACTATGCTGTCTTTTGGCTAGTGTCTCTTTCTTAGCTCTTTTCTGTATGGGCGTTGGCTGCCCTTTTGGTCCCTTTGTTGGCCTTTCATGAAGTATTTTCAGACCAAAAAGAAAAAAAGTGATCTCTTAAATAATTCAATTCATATGCTGCATTGAAATAATTAGTGTATTCTAGACATAAAACACATTTTACATGGCCATGTGTATCACTAAACTGATGGAAAATCGCATAAAAATCTCAGTACGTAAAATTAGATACTAACTATAATGATTCGTACTCTATAAAATCTGATTGATGCATAAAATTGTAGAACTTCGAATTAACATCATCATGTAATTGAGGCTAACACAGCTTTTCTTATACCTTCCAAGTGTTAACGCCACTTCTAGCTTGACAACTTGGGGGACTAGGGACTGCCCTACGGCTCCCACTGAACCTGGAATGCTCGGTTATGATCACACAAAAGCTTATAAGTTCCCAACCCAGAAGTCACTTCTTGACCGCGAACTTGGGGGACTACTGTTTACACCATAATCAACCGAGCATATCCAGTCTCAAAACAACTAGCACCAAGGCAGACACGCCTTCTCTCCTACCGAAGGAAGACACTCTTCCGAGGTGCCAAGCACCTGCCGAAACTCCCGACTGCCAAAAGCTCACAAACTGTTAAACCTAATTCTCATGACACGTGTCACCACCGCGGCAACTTGCACAGAGTCCCACATCGGAAATCTACACCAACCTCCCACTTTCACTCCCCTATAAAAAGGGAACAGTACCCTAGTAAGAGGGGTAACTACTTTTCTGCCTTTTACTATTACTCTGCAAAAGTTACCCTTCTTAGCTGACTTAAGCATCGGAGAGCCTTCGGCCGGCACCACACCGGTGCCCGGAGCTTGACGACTGCTTCCCCTATTTTTGTCTTCTGCAGGCTAGCCTTTATTGAAGGCCCAGACCCTTTCCCTGCTGAAGGCAAACCCCTTTTTCTCTAAGTTGACCCTCTCCGAAAAAGAGCATCAACAGGATTCAAACTTTTGCCTTCTTCTAACACCGGGAAAAGAAATACCACTATACTAAAATATTAATTATTTTGAACATGGGGATACAATGACGCACTAGTAGCGCTCCCGTATTTTCAAAATATTTCTGTGTACATACATAGGCCTACATGAAAAGAGTGGATAATTGGCGTCTAGTAAACAGGGGATCATTTATCATCAAATCATTTGCATAGTCTTAAGGCTGAGCCTGTACCTCTACGCGCATAAAAATTTGCTTCTTTTTGGAGCACTTGCATAGCAATCTTCATCCTCTTCCCTCTCATGCTTCACCCACTATTAAGCAGCCTGCCAAAAGAACCAAAGCAATGCCTGCCTATTCAAAGGGGTAAGGTGCAAGGTGAACAAAAATTCCCACTAATGAAATAATGGCAAGATGACAAAACGAGATGGCCTATATGTCTCACAAAAGGCCTCGGTAATATTAGTAGTTGAACCATTTAAGAGCAAGTCTAGCAGCTCTGGACTCGGGCTGCGGGGGCGGGGGGGTTTGGGAGAAAAAGGCGTTTCTAGCAACAAAAGGCAACCCTGGCAGGAGCTGGGGGCCACCAGACTGGGCTGGCCCGAGGTGGAGTTTGGCCCGAGCGCTAGCCCGAGGGCTGGTGATGTCATCGCTGGCGTCAACCTCGCGCTACAGTAGCCGCCAACGACTAGCTTCCACATGTCGGGGTCTGGGCTCTCCAATATGATTTTTTTCCTTCAATCCAACGGCAGCCAATTTTTCTGCAATAAAAAAAATGAAAAAAAAATCAATTTTTTTTATTATAAAAAATACCAAAAAAAATTACTGAATTTATTTTTTCTCTATACCTTATTTCCATTTGGATTCAAATAAAAATACTAGAAAATCAAATTCCCACCAAATCAAAATATGAAAAATCAGTTTTAGTGCAAAATACGATTTAGGCTAAAAATGATGGCTCATTAAGTCAATATATACTTCATATTAAAATCTCATAAAATTAAGTTTTCTTATTTGACGTGTAAGGAATAAAAGCCGCCAAAAATTATCTTGAGAAAATGATTATTCCGAAAACCATTTTTCATACTTAGCCAATATTGCACCTTCGCTAAATTTTTTTTGAGTTCGCCAGTGTCTATAAATACCAACAAATACAACTAATAAAATAAAATCTTATCTGAAAATATTATCATATATGAATAGTATTGACACGTAAGAACCCGAAAATATTATCCAAATTAGTTGTTTAAGTAAAAAAAGTTGTGAAAAAAACAAAAAAATGAATAGTATTTGCCATGGCAAAGGGCAACTGCTGAAAACACACTTTGCTTGGGGGGCCAAGGGGCAAACTGCTAGAAATGCTCTTATATGTTGCATTTTATTTAGTCAAGTTTTCGATGAGGGACTTTATATTCTTCAACACGCCCCCTCATGTGTGACCACCACATAGTGGGCAACATGTGGAGCTAAGTCCACATCGGAGTTAATCATTCATGCCCGACATGTGAACACCACATATTGGGTAAGGGGTAGGGGTAAATATTCAAGCCCAACATGTGAACACCACATATTGGGTAAGGGTAAAGGCTCAATTTAGGCCCAATCAATCAACCCGCTTTGATACCATGTTAAATTTCAGAGAGACGGACCAACGACTCACTATTAGCAACACCGATATTGTCCTCAACTTAACAACCTACAGTAGGTATGAGGTTTTTTCACAAAAGGCCACAGTAATGTTAGTAGTAGATCCATTTATTATATATTGTATTTTATTTAGTCAAGTTTCCGATGTGGGACTTTATATTCTTCAACAGACAATAGGTAGATGGGTAATGATTTAGAAAATAATTGAAGAAGACAAGTGAAGATGTGTAAATCATAAAATAATTGAAGGAGGATAAAGGAATCCAATGCAGGATTCCTTGATCCAACCGGTGACAAAAAGCTTGCTTGGAGTAGCTGTTATAACCGTCCTAATAACCTTGGTTCTGAAGGATCCTCCATAGTGGGTCCAAATTGAACATTTCTGGCGGGAATTTTCCTCCGTGGATCATTGCTCTGGTGGTAAGAGTTTTTATCGGATGAGGAAGAGAACCAAAGATTAATTTGCTGAAAAAGTATGGTCAGTTGAAAGGCGCCATTGATGCTTTCCCTTGTAAGGCCTTTTTGTTTCTCAAATTTTGTTAAAAAGAATTTGATTCAGTATTAATTGAATTTTGACGATGAAGCAAGTGGCGCTCATCTGGACGTCATCATAACTGTAATTGGCAACAAGCTAAACTGAAAGATAAATTGATTAGCAACAAACTTAAATTGGGTCTAAAATACCGAACCTCGGAAACAACATTCCTAAGATCATCTTGTTGCAACGTTAAGATTCGAAACAATAGATTAATAAATGCGTGATTATCAACCGATGATGCATACATACGGTCAATTAACTGGTTTATAAATACTTACATTATTTTAAAATTTTTTTTTCTATGCATATAGTGGTATTGTGAAATATGTTTCTGCTACTTGATGCCTTAAATGCCTTTAGCTTATAGGACTTAATAAAACAACATAAAGAGTGCTAGCTTTTTTTCTTCTCTTGGTACTTTGATTCAAGTACATGTTAGCTAAATCTGCCTCAATCTTTAATGTTTGAAGTTTTATGCTCTTCCACAATACAATCCTATTTGGATCTCTATTTTGGTTCTTAGTTGTGTATATATTAAAATCACTGTCAACTTTTGGATCCATGAAAAATAACATTTTTTTCATTGGATGGAAAATCATAACTGCTGGTTTGAATTACGTTGGATGTTTGTTCGGCTCTCTCAGTTGTGCAACTGGGCTGTGAATGTTGCATACTGCCTTTCAGCCTGGTTGTTCGTTTTAAGAACGTATCTATAGTTCACAATACATCTTAATTTTTTGTGACTTTAATATACACTATAGCATATGTAGTAATGTCAGTCTTCTTGTAGCTCCAAAATGATTTCCCAAGCGTGAAAATGCCATCCTCTGCTTTCGTGGAAATGCGAGTACATAGATTCTGACTAGATTGACAACTACTACTCATTCATAAATCATGTGGTACCTCATAAATCCAGTTATCTAAATATTTTAATAAAAGAAGTTATTATAGTTTGTTTATTTCAAGATACAATTAGCACTGCCCAATTCTACTCAACATATTGACCACTGTGAAACATATTGACAACGGTTTAATGAACCTCTCAGAATTCCATTCTATTACATAAGGTAATTTAAAACTCAGATATGCTAATATAAGAGAAGACTGCATAATTGAAGGAGATTGCACAAACTATCAAGGAGATGAAGTGAAGCAGACAAAGTAGGAATCCCGACAAAGCAATTGATCGGTTGCAGATACGATCAATTCTCAATGCTAAGCTTATGATTGAAAATTCTTGTTGGCTTATTCCATCCGGCACACAACATAATAGAGCACTTGAAATAGTCACGTAAGTTATGTTAATAAGAATCAAACAATTATAACAAAGCTAGGTCTAACGAGCTTGTAGCTATTGAGGTGCAAACTTCATGCGAACCTGGCCAATAAGCACGCAACTACTTTTGATCAGCTCCAAATCCTGTATCAAGACCCCAAATTTGAGTTGCTACTTTTGATTAGCTAGGTCTAATAATAAACAATTCAGTCTTTCTGAACATGCTTATTGATTGCTAGATGTAATTACTTATTGATTTGCAGTATGTTAACAGATACTTTATTCAAATGCATAAAATATGCAGCTCTTGCATACATGTATGCATGTATATACTACATGAGTTGATCAAATGCTCTGCAGTAGTTTAAACAGAAATGTATTCATGACAAAAGCACATGAAGAGAGAGAGAGAGGGAAATTGTCATCCACGAAACAGTAAGTGATGAATCTAATGGTAAATGTATGGCTAGAAAAGATAGTGATGGGAACTTACTAATATCAATTGTGAGCAGACCCTCATTAGCTTTTCAAGTATTTATGTGCAGACATTTGAGGAGGAGGCGTTTTTAACAAAGGTTGCAAAAATTTAGCTGCTCTTTTAAGAATCACAGTTTTTATAAAACTTTTCAACAATAGCGAAAAATAAGAGGGTGCAAGGCCTAAGTAGGAAATCAAAGTGGTTACCCACCAAATCAAAAGTCCTATGCACCTCCATTGTTCACTATTCTTGAAAGATTTCATAAAAACTGCAGTTGTTAAGAAGAGGGAGAAAATCTTTACAAGTTTTGTTAAAAACCATTTGGAAAGAGCATAGCTTTTGCGGCAGAGAGATTTTTGGTGAGAGCTTCCACTTGCACTTGCACTTGCATCAGCTGAATTGTGAGGAGAAGTAGCTTTTGTGCTGATGTTGATGGAGTAGTTCATCATCATGATTTGGTCGAGTACTTCCACGTCTTGCTTATGCATCAAACGGAGCCCACACTTCTTTATACCCGAGCGAGGTATTTTGTCGCCAGACAAATCATGAACGTAATGAAAAGTTTGGAATGAAACCTTCATCTGACTGCATTCTTTGTCGACTACAAAATGATATACACAAGATACCCAAAGGTGAGGTGACACAAGATGGCCTTTAATAATTGCAATACGACCATTCACAGGGGCACCTTCTCCTAGGCGACATTCAATTCCAAAGTTGGTAGAACGGTAATCCACAGGGGCACCTTCTTCAAAGACAGCACATAAAGCAATCCAAATGGACGTGGTACATGGAGGTAGCTCCACAATTAAGGAATCTCCTACACTTTGATTATTGAACCACTCTGGAATTCTACTTCCAGGTGTTACAATTTGGAAAGCGGGAGTAGTTGAAATTGGCGAAGTGAGTAAAGGTACCTGTGTACCATGCATAGGTTAGTAACTTGATTATTTATCTATTAATATAGAAAACAAAGAGAGAGAGAGACAGAGAGAGAACCTGAAGGAATCCCCTATCCAGAGCAGTCCAGAGCATTCCAAGTATTATACTATAATCGTAGCCATCATTCTCAACCAATCCATAGCAATTCAAACAACGCAACATAACAAAACTTCTTCCTTCTTTTATGCTCAACTTCGGCAATGTTTTTAAGGAAGTGCAATCTTCTGTGCCTATGTAAATATAGCTGAAGCCTTCATTATCAACCAATCCAAAGCAGAAATGGGGCAATTGTTGAAGCCTTTGGCACCCACTCACCGAAAATGACCAAAGCTTAGGAAGACATCCAATGCTTGCAGGAAGGCTAACAAAATTGTTTCGACTGAGGTCTAATTTTTCTAAAGAGGACAAGCAGCCAATATCAACGGGAATATCCCCGTCACAAAGACCACAATTACTCACATCCAAATACTTCAAAGACCATAAACCATGTAGCGAACCCACAAAAGCCTTTCTTTGGAGGCCCCACCAAAACCTTGATTTATTAGGCTTTGAGCCAAATACACTCAAAATTCCAACAGAGTGTGGCATAGAGATCTTGAAACTGTCCATCTCCCACGAGTTTTCTGGGCGTTTGTCACTGTATGAGCTTCCATCCGCAAAGAGCTCCTGAAGAGACTTCAAATTACAAATTTCGCTCGGAAGAGCCAAGAGGTTTCTACAATTTCTTACATTCAGAAGAGTAAGGCCAACAAGACGTCCAATTGATGAAGGTAATTTCTCAATGGACATCCCACTCAAAATAAGCTTTGACAAATTTTCCATTTGTCCTGAAAATTCTGGAATTTTTTTCAGTTTTGAGCAACCGTGAAGATTGAAATACACAAGAGAATCCATTTCTACCTCACTTGGAAGACTCTTAACACTTTTGCATCCACATAGTACTAATTCTGTAAGCCATTTGAGATTTGCGACGGACGGGTGAATCTCAACTAAATTCTCACACCCTGTAAGATTCAACACCTTGAGTTTTGGAATGCCAGAGAAAATTGGGGTTGTTACCAAGTTTTGAGAGCCATAAAGGTCCATGTATTTCAAATTGGGCAAGTCCTGTACAATATTACTCAAAAAATAGTAGAATATATAATTAGCAACCAGAAAACTTAAACTCTTCCTCTTTTCTTTCAAAAAATTCATAAGATGGCATATGGTAAGTAATCTTACAATTCTTTCATCCCAGAGCTCAACTAGTTTGCTGTCCCGCATCTCAAGTGAAACAAGTTTATTCAGTTGAAAATTTGATGGGAGATATTTGGAAGAATACCAATTCCATTTCAGAATTCTTAAGGAATTAGGAAGAATTCTGGGTATTGACATTGAGGAAATGATCACATTTTCAACATCAAGAAATTTCAGGTTAATCATCTTAGAGAATGCTTCACAATTCCAATCCGCCTTTTGAAGTTCTGCCATCTCTAAGGCAATGCCTTGAATTTTGTTAGTTCCCTGTAATAAAGAATAGAAAAAGGAAAAGTAAATTCCACGTTTAAGTCTAATATTAAGTTAAAAAGAAATCATATATATATTTAAAAAGGGTATTTTCTACATAACTTCTTACCGTATTGTTTATTAATACATCAATGATGTCATTCAGATGACACAATCGACTGCGTCTACCGGGCTCTTCAGGAGACTCTTGACGAACAATTTCAAATGCCATTTCTTGTATCAAATCATGCATCCAAACAATGTTGGTTGAAATCTCAATAGTTAAGAGCGACTTCTCAACCAGAGTATTTATCCCACCACAACGGTCACAACTGTCTAGTATTCTAATTACTTTATTCTTGTCCTTCCCCTTATGGAAAAATGCAACATCAAGAAATATATTCTTGTTCATCTCATCTAGTCTATCGAAACTAATTTTGAGCAAATTGAAAATTTCTGTCTCAGGAATTTTCCGTAGCTTATCCAATTCATTTTTCCATTCATCTCGATCTCTTTTATACACAGAGCATCCCAAAATTTTAAGAGCTAACGGAAGGCCTCTAGCATAATTTACAAAGCACTTGGACAATTCCCAAAAACCTTCCTCAGGCTCAGATTTTTTAAAGGCGTTTAGACTGAAGAGCTCAAGAGCCTCATCATCACCTAATCCCTCTACCTTAAATGATATCTCCATATCATGCTTTTCAACCAACCGTTCATCTCTAGTTGTAATGATGATTATACTCCCCTTACCAAACCAATCCTTTTCCTTAGCAAATTTTTCTAGTTGGCTTGATGCATTCACATCATCAAGAATGAGAAGAACCTTTTTATTACATAAGCAATTCTTAATGAAATAGGTCCCCCAATCTTCATTCAAAACTCGAGTAATTTGTTTCTTCAAGATAGGGAAAAGAAGCTGTCTTTGTAGATCAACAAGACGTTTACCTTCAGAAGCCTCTCTAACATTAGCAAGAAAGCAGCTAACTTCAAAATGAATAGAAATGCTTTCATAAACGAGCCTAGCAATGGTTGTCTTGCCAATGCCTCCCATCCCCCATATCCGTACAAAGCGAACATCATCTGTAGGATCTAAAAGCAAATCCATTTGCTCACGTGTAAACTTAATTCCCACTAACTCTGTGGAATCTAACAATTTGAATGTGCGATGCACTTTCCCCCACACCCATTCAACAATCTTTTCAATGAGCTTTCTTTCACACCTACAAGGAAGAACAATGATTAGATCAAAAGTATAAGCCATAGATATAACAAGGTCTAAAGGTACATAAAAGTTGCTTACTCATTGTTTGAATCCAACCCAGATAAATTGGCAACTTCTGTTAAAGCAGCTCTCCAGCGCTTCACCTTTTCTATGTCTTCCCTAAACCTTTTCTCATGCCCAGCGAAGTCGCCTGCAAAACTGCCACTTTGTTTTCGTACATCCGAGGGATCCACATTATAAAACACAGGCAGAACCGTGCCCTTGGATTTCATGCATTGGAGAATATTTGTAAGTTCATCCAAGCACCAGGAAGAGGAAGCATAGTTTGGCGAGAGAACAATGATAGCAAGCCTTGATTCTTGGATTGCTTTAAGGAGCTCTGAAGAAATGGTTGTCCCTCTTTCAAGCTTTGGATCATCCTTGAATGTTTTAATGCCCTTGTGCTGCAATTCGTGGTATAAATGGGACACAAAGCTATTTCGAGTGTCTACACCCCTGAAACTCAAAAACACATCGTAGTTCCATTGACGAGGAGCCGAGTGATCAGCTGAAGGAAGAAAAGCAGATGCTCTTTGGGTGCTCAACGCCATTGGTAATCTGCTGCTGCTGCCGCAAACACTACTCAATGAAAAAAGAACTTCATTAATTCAATCACTCAACTGAATAAATACGAAGACAATCATAAATGGCTTGAAAACTGAAAAGGATTGAAATTTGAAGAGATTTTCTTTGTTAGGGGGTAAATTAAGATTTAATAAACCTGAGGAAAAATACAGCGTTGAAGGAATATAAGCAACAAAACAAGTTTCCGGGAAATTTAGATAGTCCCGAACATGTATTTTGTCATGGTGTTAATTTGGATCATCGATCTTAGCAAACATGTTAATTTGGGTCATCTTAGCAAGCATGTTAATTTGGATCATCTTATATGTTATGTCATCATACTTTCAATGTATGGTCCATGTAACAAAAGATAACAAATATCTAACAAAAGAACATGTTTCTTTGTACTTCCAATTCAGCAGAGAGAAACAGAGAAATTCAACTCTAAAGAAACAAAAACTGCACATATGATCTGAGCACAACTCTAAAGAAACAAAAACCGCAAATGTTTTATCTTAATGTTACCTGAACAAAGCAATTGTGAAATGGAGACAAAGCAAGGCAGCAGCTTTAGCTTAATGTTACAAATCCAGAGACAATTGGTAAGACAACAACCACAAGACCAGCAAGTCAACCAGAGAGAAGAGAAGGCCAAGAAACCAACAATAAGAAGCAAAGCTAACAGCCTCAGCAAACCGTGTAGTGGCGAGGCGAGCACACAGTTTCATGTGGGACAAGTTCTGTTGACTATCGGGCCAATTATTTATTTTTATTCTTGGTGTGGTGATAATTTTTTATTTTATTTTATTCTTGGTGTGAGAAAAGGAAATTACTTGATATTTCCCTCAGGATCAATCAATAATATAAAATTTTTGTTAAAACATCCCCACCTTCTGCAAAATTATTGAATACACGTGATTGTCTGTCTGTCATGGCTTATTAATATTCCCAATATTTGAATCCCTTAATCAAATTATGCATGATTGTAATCATTCCCACCTGCTAATGTAGATGCTAATATCTAGATGATGTCCCAATGGCATCAGGTTTCACCTTCTTTTCTTGAAGAATTCTTTACAATATGTAGTGAATTGCTTGTGCCTCCTTATTATTGGGGTATGAAATGAGAGGATGTGGTGTGGATGTTTCTACCTTGTATCTGTAATTTTTTTTTCTGGTGTGGTTGCGGCTACAGCTCTCTTTGGTAAGGGAACTTATTTTTCTTTCAAAGAAAGGGGATCATAGAAGGAATTTTCTGCCCTAATAAGTAGAGGCCAGGAGCTATTTGACCAATTGACACATGAGGACTACAAGGACTTTTTGAAACAAGTTTTTATGGATGTATGCGTGTAATTGTAATTCTATTGGGGTTGCCCATCTTAAGATGGCTATTTGATGCCCGATTTTTCTTTTGGTTTTACTGGCTGCGTGCAGTCACAGCTACTGCCCTTGGGTACAAATCAAAGACAACAGGTATCTGGTTGGACAAAGCAGGCACAAATGTGGATTTTGTTCTCGTCCCTAATGTCAATCGCAGAGCAATTCCACTTCATGTGAATGCAGATGGGGCACTAATTGAACATCCCTGAGCATGAAGTTCAGAGATTAACGTCTGGAGTTCTTAAACTTGTGTGATGACAGACCTGGAATCCACCATAATGAATTTCAGAAATTTGCCAATGACAAACTTCTTAGAACGGGGAGATCAGGATAACTCCTGCTCGACTAGTAAGACCAACTGTTGGTTTGATGCCAGCTACTGAGTTACAACTGCATGGACTTAAAATTGATCCATCTGTCTCAGTCCCCAGTGCCACTCCCACCAGAAGGTGCACTATTGGACCTCCAATTGGACCACTCACTCAAGCTGGCCTTTCCCAGTATGATGGCCCCAGCCTCCCTCAACTTGGTCACCACGCGGGCATCCCGGGGCACAACAGAGCCAAGCAGAGCATAAGAGCCAGTTATGGTGTTCAACTTGCCCTTGGTTGCAGTGTTGTCCTTGACCAGAATGGGAATAGCATGTAACTTAGAGAGTGGCACAAATGGTGGCTTGGTCTTGCGCTCGTAGTCAGCCTTTTCGACAAGGTCAAGTGCATCCGGGTTCATTTCTATGACCCCCTTGAGGAAAGGGTTGAGTCTGGTGATTTCTACAAGGTAAAATTGGACAAGTTGCCTTGAGGTGAGCTGGTTGTGCTTGAAAGCAAGTTGGAGATTATCTATGGTGGCTTCCTTGATTGAGAACCCTTGGTCTGTAATTGTTTGTGGCCCAGATGAAAATGTAAACAGAAGAATCACAAGTAAGTTGTGGACTAGCTGCAGACTCACAGGGTTCATAACTTCAAACTTTGAAACACAACTGGGCTGAGTGATGGGTTTCCCTCGTTAGTGGAGGAGAGAAAAAGAAGGAAAATAAATATTAAAATAAAATAAAAGAAAGGACAGGAAAAGTTGAAGAAAACGAACGGAAGAGAAAATGAGAAAAACTCTCTCGCATGCAAGGCCACCAATTTGTCAGGAACGTTGGCTATAAAAGCAGCTGCCTTCCTTCAGTTCAAATCATCCTTTAGAAAACCAAAACATAGAGAGTTTTGAGAGATAAGAAAACCTCACTTGTGTGAGAGAGAAGATCCTCTTGAGAGAAAAACCAAGAGAGAGTTTAGCCACCGGTGTTTGGTGAGATTATTTTTGTATTCCCATTATTTTTCTTAGTGGAAGATAGAGTGTTAATTTTGTCCACACTACTACAAAAAAAGAAAAACACGACGGGAATTCACCGTCGTGTATTCTGTTTTCAAATGGTCGTGGAATCCACCGACATCTTTTTCATAACAAAACCACGACGGTAAATAACCGTTGTTGTTAAAACAAAAAACGTCATCAAAAAATAAAAACTGACGTCTTTGTACTGCAAAAAGACATAAAAAACAGTCGAGAATGAGAATAGACGACCAACTCTAACAAAAAAACGTCGTTAAAAAGGAAACATATGACATATATTAACAGAACATGGCCGCAAGATAAACATACAACGACGAGAACTAAAACTTAACGCCGTTAAATAAACCTTTAACGACAAATAGAAATATGACGTCTTTACAATCATAATAGACAACGTTATTGACACCTACTACGTCACAACATTTCCAACAACCGTCGTAAAATAAATTTTCCACTTCGATTTTTCTATGAATTATGACGTGGAAATAGATGTCAGGGTCATTACTTACGACGCATGTATGTACAGAGACGACGTTGAAATAAATAAACAACGTCGGTTTCCAAATAAATGAGAGCCGTATTACAGAATTTATACGTCATATTTTGAAATATAATCGTTGTGTAATGACTCTGAAACGGCATCGTTTCTAATTCCACCGCCGTGTAAAATAATTTTAACGACAGGATCTGAAAATAAACGATGTGGAAAAAATGATGGGGTCATTAATTACGACACATTAATTTATAAAGACGACGTTGTCGTCTATATACAACGTCGTTACCATAAAAAAGACCGCCGTGTTTCATAATTTATACGTCTTCATTAAAAAAATTAACGTCGTCTAATTCATATATCTTAACGTCGACAAATTTAATGGACTTCAAATACCGTCGTGAATTCATCCTTTTCCACTTCGTTTATGAAAGAACATGCGACGTGGTAAATTCATGACGACGTCGTCTTTTGTAACGTTCAGGTTAAAGATCTCGTCTTTTAGACGTCGGTATTATGGGATTGGAGTCGTGTTATTTTGAATTACATGGCGGTTCTTTATGCTTGTCCGACGTGTTATCCTGGATAACTGTTTCACAATAGCGTCGTGGTTCTTCATTGTTACGTTGCTTTAAGACGTCGGTAAATATATTGCGGTCGTTGAATGCTCCAAAACGTCGTTATTTATTAGAACAGACGTTTGTTTTTCACATTTTTATCAAAACCGTCGTGTTTGTAATCTGGAACCAGTAATTTTTGTACTGATTGTTTTGTGGCCAAAACCTGTATAATGAAAGTGAAGAAATCACATTACAATATATTACAAAATTAATGTCATACACTGCCAATTACATAAAGCATCATTCAACCCATATATCTTCACACCCATCTCGAATATTTTGACTCCCTAACTCAACCACCACTTCATCAAATGTGTCAACATTTGGCATCCCTCTAGTAAATGGCTCACACTCAATTCTCACATCACCTAAGACATCATCACCAATAACATCATTATATTCTCTATTAGGCATTGATAACACTACCGACCAACCACGATGCATCGGGTCGTCAACAAAAAATACTTGTTTGACTTGAGAAGCCAAAACAAATTGGTCATTCCTATGTCCAATTTTACTCAAATCTACAAGGGTAAATCCAAGTTCGTCCGCTACAAGACCAGAAGTATTATCTATCCAATCACACCTAAAGATTACGATTGTAAACTTTTGGTAGTCAAGGTCCCAAATTTCTTGAATGACACCATAGAAACCCATATTTGAGAGAATTTGGTTTTTATCCTTGGCACTAGCAACTTGCATATTATGTGAAATTAAATAAACTCCACTATTTTGAGTTGTCCGCACATCATCTTGTGCCTTGATGTTGAATTTAATACCTTTAATAAGATAGCTCCTATATAATGGCACTGCCATTTCTTCTCCCAAACTAATTAAGCCTTAATTAAGTACCCATGTACTAATCTGACTTACCTTTATCCATCAACGGAGAGTCACCACCACCACCAGTTGCCATTTACACACTAAAGCCCAGGTACCCCCATCCTCCCTGGTGGTCGTTCTCCAAAGTGATGGGCATCCTTGTCCTCCACAGGTGTAAGGATTTTCGTCCAGTTAGGCTCTGACGCACGCCTTCAGGGGCAGCATCCTAGGTTGTTCTTGTCCTAGCTGGTGTTTTTGTTGTTGTCTTTAGTTGTTTTGTTTGGTGTGCTTTGTCTGTTTGGACTTCTTGTTGTGTTGCCCAGGGTGTGTTTCGGTTGTTAGTCTGGTTTCCCTTTTGTTTGGTTGTGTAGTAGCTGTTTCCTTCCTTTCCCTTTCGTTTTTTAATGAAAGTGTGTTTCGACAAAAAGGGAGAAAACAGCCGGTTGGCTATACTCTGAGGAAGGGATTTATCGGCCGCACAGCTATACTCCTTTTTTCTAATTTTTTTAAACAGAAATAGTATAGCTGCAGGGCTGTACTTGTTTGACACATGACGCATAGGCGCTGGGTGTGTCTTTATATACATATATAACTAGTATAGCCGGTTCTTTTTTGAATTTTTGAAAGAAATAGTATCACCGTGCCGCTATACTCATTTTAAAAAAAAAAAAAAAAAAAAAAAAAAAAACTGTTTGACACATGTCAACTATGCGCTGGGCGCATCCTTTTTTTTAATATATAAATAGTATAGCCGCTCGACTGTACTTTTTTAAATAAAAATTTTAAAAACATATATTTAGTTTCTTTACCTTTGTTTTTGAGCCTACTTTTTAAATTTAATACATGTAATTAAGTAATATCTTAGCTTTTTTGAATCACTTTAATTAGTAATTATATTTTAATAAAAAATTATAGAAAATGTCCACAAAATAATTGATTTCTATTTACTAAGTCTTTGTGTAATTGTTTGGGTGTCCTAATTAAATTTCTCTATATAGCCCTATCCATTACTATTAGGCCATTACTCGAGTATCTATTGTCCCTTTTTCATTTTTTATTTTTCCAAAGTTATTACCCGTATAAAGATTCTAGCACCTTCACGTTTAATAATGTATTATACACATACACACATATTTCTCATGTTTAATACACCTATTTTTTACAAAAATTTCAATAAGACACACAAAATTCATGTATTATACACATAATTCTCACATACTACTGAATCAAAATAATATATATTTTAAACAAAATGGTATAGCCGCACGACTATACTCAGTTTTCCCCTAATTGTCTTTAAAGATAGTATCGCCGGGCGGCTATAGCCTTTAAAAAAAAAGAAAAAAGAAAAAAGAAAAAACTTTTTAAAACAAAAATAGTATAGCTGAACGGCTGGACTTGTTTGACACGGGGCGCAAATCCACTGGGAAATAGTATAGCCGTCTGGTTGTACTAGATTCTTTTTAATTTTTTTCAAGAAATAGTATAACCATATGGCTGTACTCGTTTTTTTATTTTAAAAAACTGTTTTGACATGTGGCACCTATGCGCTTGGCCCGTCCTTTTTAAAATATATAATATATAAATGGTATAGCCGGGCGGCTGTACTGTTTTTATTTTTTATATATACATAAATTGTCCTTAATAAATAGTATACACGAGCGGCTATAGTCTTTTACATATATATACATATGTGTATATATATATATATCTATGTACGTACGTATTTTTCAATAATACATTCGTGTTCTAACTTCTATACGCGTCTCACGGTTTCGGATGGACTTCCCAGTCCACCAAATTTGTAATCTCTCATGTAGTCGAGAAAGCTTTTGCACTATGCTGTCTTTTGGCTAGTGTCTCTTTCCTAGCTCTTTTCTGTTTGGGCGTTGGCTGCCCTTTTGGTCCCTTCGTTGGCCTTTCATGAAGTATTTTCAGACAAAAGAAAAAAAGTGATCTCTTAAGTAATTTATTTCATATGCTGTATTGGAATAATTAGTGTATTCTAGATATAAAACACAATTTACATGGCCATGTGTATCACTAGACTGAGGGAAAATCACATAAAAATCTCAGTATGTAAATTAGATACTAAATATAATGATTCGTACTCTATAATATCTGATTGATGCATAAGATTGTAGAACTTCAAATTAACATCATCATGTAATTTTGGATTCAAACTTTCGCCTTCTTCTAACACTGGGAAAAGAAATACCACTATACTAAAACGTTAATTATTTTGAACATAGGGATACAATGACGCACATAGCGCTCCTGTATTTTCAAAATGTTTCTATGTACATACATAGGCCTACTCGAAAAGAGTGGATAATTGGCGTCTAGTAAACAGGGGATCATTTCTCATCAAATCATTTGCATAGTCTTAAGGCTGAGCCTGTACCTTACTTTCAAGATTAATTGGTAGAGCTACTACCTCTACGCGCATAAAAATTTGCTTCTTCTTGGTGCACTTGCATAGCAATCTTCATCCTCTTCCCTCTCATACTTCACCCACTAATAGCCTGCCAAAAGAACCAAATCAATGCCTGCCTATTCAAAGGGGTAAGGTGCAGGGTGAACAAAAATTCCCACTCATGAAATAATGGCAAGATGACAAAACGAGACGTCCTATATGTTTCACAAAAGGCCTCGTAACATTAGTAGTTGAACCATTTATT